GCCTTCCTCAGTTAAATCACCAGAGTCTTGAATGGGGCGTTCTCTCCAGATGGAGAAGATGAAAAACGGTCGAATAATTTGACGTATTGGAGACCATAACCTAAAGGTTCTTTATATATTGTCTCATTAGACACTCATTAAACCTAATTGTGTCAGTATTGGGTATCCACCCATTTAATCCATACCCAATTAAAAATCTAATTGGACTTTTTTAAATTGACCACTTAATTTTGTCTAATTAATTAAATAGCGTGATATGATTGATAATTAAATATGTGGCCCACAATTATATTAAGAAATAAAATTTCCTAACGTAGAGTAGCCATATAATTGGGTGAATCAGAAGAATAAATTACAGGATTGGTATTTGAATATAGTATTTTTATGAACATTTAAACGTAACTTATACATGTACATAAAAGTGTTACATGTGAATAACTAAGGTCTCGTTTATTTTACCGATTCGAGTTTTCAGTTTTAGGTTTGTACAGTAAAAAGCTCTCAGAAAATGTCATATCTAACTTTTTATGCTACAGTGAAAAACTCTCAGAAAATGTCACATCTCAACTTGAATTGAAAATTCAAATCCGCGAAGTAAACGAGATCTAAATTTTAAAAGGAGTGTTCAACCTAATTTACGCCATATAATATCGGGCTACCTACAAAGGTGGGACCCTGTCTTTGGCTTAGATTTATATGATAAGCTAAAAGAAATCTAAAGGAGTTACTTGTCCACAAAATACATAGAAAAGAAGTCAAATTTCACAAGGCACTGGAAAAATAAAATTAGTAGAGGGAAGCTTGAAAAACTGAAACCTGTGAGGAAACCTGAGCGTAAAAGATCAATATCATGGAAGGCTTACATGATTGACCGTTTTCCTCTAAAAACAAATCTTCCATAAATAAAACTGTCCTCTTAGATATTAACATATATATCATATAAGTTAGTGTGTTTGACCATCAATTTCCAATTAATATATATATATATATATATATTTTTTTTTTTTTTTTTGCTGAAA